TAGATTGATTTTATAGAGATGAGCCTGGTGTTCAGGAAGAGGTAGATTTATTCTTCAGTCCTGGGAATTCTATGGTCAGTCATTTGGATGATCTCTTTGGCCCTGATTCCTATTACAGATAATGTACCCAATTTGTTTCTGAGGGCAGGGTAGGAAGAGATTGGGATCTTTATGAAATATCTATCATAGGTGAGGACATTACATGTTTTTAATACCCTAGGGCCCCATTATCAACATAGAGATCAGGGACCCACTTTAAGGGAACATCTATCCCATTCATCTCTAACCTTCAGAGGATGCCAACCTACCGCTACTTTTTTTAAGGATGCCAAAATTCAACACTTTCAAAACCAAAGTTTTAGATCTTCTCAGATGCCAAATTAGGAGTAGGTGACTAGGTTACAACTTGAGCCTAATCCCTCTAATACTTTGAATTATTTTATCTAAATTATACCTAGGAATTTCTGGCACCTCAATTTTATCCAGCATTATACTCTGAAGTCCAGATTTTAAGTAGCTGAGCAAAAATTTAGAATCATTCCCAGTTGCCTGAGCCAGTCAGTGCATTGAATGTAGAATCTCTTTCAAATACACAATAAATTCTATGTAACTGAAAATTAGATTTTCCCCTCTGTAGCTTACGAGAGACACTAAATATCCATTCCCACCATATAATCTGTAGGTTTTAACCAATAAAGTTAGCAAAATACTAAAATTCTTCTGGTACATTAACCTTTTCCCAAGTGTGATTTCATGATAAATCTTATGTGCAATTACTTTAATAATAGGTCTGAAGGTAGAGTGGGCAGGACCAGTGTCATGGGCCTCTGACCAGTGCAGTCGCACTGAGCCGCCTGTTCAGAAAGGTCTCACACTTGGTATAGCGCTTTGTTGTCACTGCTTTGAAATTCTCAACAACTTTTTAACAAGGGCCTAAGAATTCTTTTGGCATTGGGGTGTGCAAACTACAGAGCCAGTTCTGAGGGTGCAGCAGGAGGAACTTGGGCTCTTTACGAAATATCTAATTACATGGTTCTTAAGAAAAGTGGGGTCAGCTTCATCAAACTGGGAAGGAATTGCTGCTTCGGCTAGCAAGGGCAAGGAGGTAGCAAGATTTATGAGTTCAGAATAATCAGACTTAATGTCTCCAGTAAGATTTTTGGAGCCATTCTTGTTTTGTGAGATTTTTTATTTTTTTATTTTTTATTTTTGTTTTTGTTTTTCTCCGGTACCGGGAACCGAACTCACGACCTTGCGCTTGCCAGGCAGGCGCTTTGCCGCTGAGCTAAATCCCCAGCCCCTGTGAGATTTTTTAAATGAGTTTTGGTAAGGCTATGACTTCAACCTAAGATGTCCCATATCTGCTTTTTGGCTATGTTGGCTTTGTGATTAAATAAATGAAATTTTCTGAGTTTAGATCAAGAATTTAAAACCTTAAGCCTGCTATTTATGGTTTTTTAAAATTCTCTAGTACAGCTAGAAGAACCATTCAATTCATAGTTCAGTGTAAAGCTAACAAGAACTTAACTATTTCCAAAACCAATCAAGTTAGTTAACTCTTTCTGGATTCCAATTGCTTTGAAGGCATGTTGCTTATGACCACTTCTGGTACCAGTTACTGAATCATTAGTGATAGAGACTTGAAATAACAATGACCCAGGACAGAGAATTTTCTTTCGTAGATCCTAAATCCAGACTGTAAATATTTCAAGGCTGGTTAGGTACAGACTTCACTCCTTTAACTCTTTTTCTCTGTCATGCATAGTAGTATATGATTCCTGCCCAAGTGATTGCTTTATGTCACAAGATACCTGTTAGTGCTCCAGCCACTACATACAAGTTTAAGTAAAGAAGGGAAAGAAAAAGAGGGAAGGGCACAAAGAGTATCTGCTGGCTAATTAGGCATACTTCACTTTTCATGTGAAATCTGCCCAATAATTCCTTACATCTCATTGAACACTCAGTGAAAGGCTCAAAAATATAGCCTGAAAATATAGTTCTAGTATAATTTGGTATGTTGCCACCGCAATACAAAGGGGTTCTGTAAGTTAAAAAAAAAAAAAGGGAGAGACCAGGTACTGTGAAGCAGCTGTCTCTGAAAATGCTAAAGCATCTTCTAGATCTAGTGATCAAATATGGTTGCCACTATCCTTGTGTAGTCACATAAATTTAGCATAACTAAAACTAAATTAATTAAAACTTCAGTTCATTAGTAACATAAGTCATATTTTAAGAGCTAAAGATGTTAGCCACCATCTTGGACAGCACACACACACACACACACACACACACACACACACACACACATATTTTTTTCCATCATTATTACAGAAAATTCTACTGGGAACCACTGATATACACTTCCAGTAACTTTGATTCCAGAATGATTTGACAGTGACCAGGAGATGGGAGGGAGAAGAGGGATATAAAAAAAAGGGAAGAGAAGAGTTTTAGTAATAAGTAGGGAATCACGCCCAGTGCTTCAGACTTACTGTTTGAGAGGATCAGGGAGGAACTATCTTCAGCAACTGGTCGCTGGAGAGTAGCAGTACAGACTAACACTGGTTCTGATGGGCCAAGGAGACACATGGGAAGCGGCCAGATGGAAGCCTGTGCTTGTAGATGTAGGAATTTCCATTATAGGGCTGGGTGCAATGGTGCACAGCTGTAATACCAGCACTTTGGGAGGCTAACACAGGAGGGTTGCAAGTTTGAGTGCAGCCCTGGAAACTGAGTGACTTAGGCCATATCTCAAAATTTAAAATTAAACTTTTTTTAAGAAGGGCTGGGGATGTAGGTCAGGGGGAAGGCTTTGTATTCAATTACAAATACTGAAAAAAATTTCATTATACAGAGCCAGGGTAATGACCCCAAAGAGAAGCAGGGCCATAGATAGCTGCTTGAGCTGTGGTCGGTATGTTTCTGGTGTTTTTTTAGGATGAATAGCTCTGAATATGGCTAGATGATAAGGACAAGGGTCCCTAAAGTGGTAAATACTTACAATAAAAGAGAGGAATACTGAAGCCAGGCACCTTAGCCTATAACAAAATACCTGAGACTGTAATTTATAAAGAGTAGAAATGTCTTTGGCTCATAGTTTTGGAGGGCAAGATGTCCCAGAGCAAGGAATATCTGTTTGGCATCTGGTTAGAGCCTCTCGTGGTGGGCATCACATGGCAAGACAGAGCAAGGGTTTCTTAGGTGTTTCTTCTTAGAAAAGCTCTAATCCCTCCCTAGGGGCCCCACCTTCATGACCTCATCAAACCCTAATCACCTCCAAATGCTATCAACATGAATTTGGGGATTGTTTCCAACACACAAGCTTGTAGAGGACACATTCAGACCAGAGTACCAGGTTTTAGGGAGATCAGTATGAACTCCTGTGTCAGAAGGAAAGGCCATCCTGCCGACACTGGATGTGGCTGGCAGGGACATGGGGTGAGCAGGATGGGCAAGACCAGACAGCGTGGCCAGGGAAGAGATTGGAGGGAACACATTCTCAGGGGCTCTGTTTCCTTGGTAAATCTGCAGAAGAAACCACTGTGTGTGAATGAAAGGCAGAAAGAGGGGCAGGGAATAAAGAAAATGAGAAAGGTCTAGAAAGTTCTGTGGTGAATAGAAAAATGAGGATCAAAAATTCAGATAAAGATTGACAAGAAAACTATATGGAATCCCACCAAATTCTCATATCATGACACACACTGTGCCTTCCTGGCGAGTATTAATAATACAAATTATTACAAGTAACATCTACTGAGTGCTTGTGGTATCAGGCACTGAACCACACATTTGAAAACCTCCATCAGCCTTTGAGCAAGGAGTATGATTATCTGCATCTGGGTGAGCAAGGGCAGATACAAATAATGTTGAAATGAGGGAGAAGTGAAGTGGATTCAAATCCCTGTCTAATCACCCTGTAGCTGAGTACCTTGGGCAGTTTAATTTCTTGAAGCTTTAAATTTCTCTTGGTAAACAGGGCTTAGGATCTGTATTTACAAAACCATTAAGAATGTTAAATAAGATTGTGAAACCTAATGTATGCTGGGTGCTTGCTTTTTAAAAACATCATAGAAGATGAACTGTTGGTGCTAGGAGTTTAGCTTACTAGTGGAGTTTTTGCAAGACCCCAGGTTCAATCCCCAGCACTGAAGAAAGAAAAAAAAGGAACATGAACTGTTGCTGAGCCAACCATTGATTCAAAGTCAATGTAATTTGAGTTTGTATTCTTTTCCTGTTGTCAGGCAGGTATCATTAGTGTGGAGTGAAGCCTGATATTAAACTGTTTTAAAGTAGAAAGTGGTAGCGCCTGCCTGAGCAGGGCTCCTGTTGAAGGCACTCACATCCTAAGGCACTATGACAGCCATGGAAAGCTCACCCCCCACACTTGCTGTGGTCCATGTGCTGCTAGCTGGTGATTCCTGGGGACTGTAGTTTAAAGATCCTTGATTCCATCTGCCTGTCCCTTATTGTGCGATTTTGGAAAAAGTCACTTGGGCTCTGCATTCCACAGACAGAAACTAAACAACGGGTTGTGTTCCGGAGAAGGTGCTACGACTCGCTGGCTAAAGCATGTGAAATTCTGAGTAATTCTTGCAGTTGGCATTGTATGAGGTATAAAAAGTTGCTAGTAGCATAATTAACAGGTGGTAAGGGCTGTGGTAAGGTGACAGTGCAGCAGATAATGGGGACCTGGGGAGACTCCTTTGGCAGCAGACCTCGGTGCCGTTACAAAGACATTGATTAATGATACCGCTTGTCCCCTGTGAGGAACAAGGCAGGATAACACTGCTTTTTCTGCAGGTGTGCAGAGAGATGGGAACCCAGGGACAGACAGGATTAGGCCACATCCAGATGAGGACAGCAGAGCAGGCTTGTACACAGGCTCCTAAATGCCCGTGGTGTGACTCATAGGCATTTTCCCCAAAGGATCCAAATCACTTTTCCAGGCAAAGTTAGAAACCCTCAAATCTCCCTGACCCCAAAGAAACTCAACTGCCTTGTTGTTGTAGTTGAAATTACTGCTCACATTTATTGAAAAAGCAGAACATAATGCATCTGTAGAGATCCAGCTTGCACAGTTCTCCAGGCCCAGCCTATAAATCACCCCTAGACTTCCAAATTGCTTGGCTGTAAGCAAACTACTCTAATAAAAGGTGCCCAGGAAGAATGAACTAGAAGATGCATTTTCTACAGCAGCACGCCATGAAGAATAAAGCCAACAAGATGGGGGCATAAATTCAGCAACCAGGTGCCCCTGGATAGTCATTCCCCTCCTATCCAGTTCAGGGCATAGACTTCTCCCCCAGGTGGCAGCCTGCCACTGAGACTCAAGTGACATAAGGCTCATCACAACATCATAGACTGACTGCCACAGCGGCAGCACCTGTCTTCCTAATGGCAGGGGATGAGAAATCTGACAGCATCTGCCATTTCCAGTGCAGAATGTGGCATCATTAACCCTGCAGGGCCTGCAGTGGTCTTTGGGTGGCAGATCCAGATGTGGGGCCAGTGGCTTCCACAGGTGCAAAGGGTGGGAAGGGCACTGGTTTGGAGGGCCATTATCCAATGGTAACCAAGAGATGGCTGACTTCTTAGAAACACAGTTGGGACTTGATCAAATGTGCCTATGTGGTACAAAGAGTGAATACTCTCCTTTATACTCTGTTGCCTTAGAAAAGTTCTTTCTAAAGAAGGTGAAGTGGGTCAATGGCTTAAGGATCTGTATGCCAAGTACACTGCTATGCAGCCATTACTATCAGGCATAGATGAGCCAGAGAGTGGGGAGTGCATAAAGAAGCAGAGGTTGGAACATCTGGAAAAAGCCCTTTGGGAACCTGAATGGAAATGAGACAAGGTCATCTGATCCCATAGGTAGGGAGATGTCTGCAGAACAGAAGCTCACAGTGTGTTGGGGCAGCTCACCTCAAACACAGTCATTAGAAGCAATCATGAGCAAACAAGAAGTTAAAATTAAGCAGTAGCTGAGCTAAACTGATTCAGAAACACAGTTTGGTGAAATGCAGCAGCCCCATAGAAGCAACTGCCTTCTAGATTGGGTATCACTGGTTAACTCTTGGGAGCTGGTATTGAAAACCAGGTATAATCCATCTTGTTTAATTTCCTGCAGTCCCACTTAAGAATCAACTCCCTACCTGTGATGAGCTCATTCAGGCTGAACCTACCTGGGCTGGCCTGGGGTGGGGGCGGTGCTGATGAAGTCAAGATGTCCTGCCCTGTTGTGAAGGGGCTGCCTGCTTCCAAAGGTGTGGACAAGGAGGCACCAAGGTCCTACTGACTTTCGTGTGAAACAAGGGCTGAGCCCCTTGACGTGTGTGCACTGAGGTTCTTCCCCAGCCAGAGCACTTTCTAGGCTGTCCCAGAAACTGAGGGCAGACCGTGGCCAAGCACTCAGCCCTCGAGGGTCCTGCTAGCCCTGGACTTCTGGGCACCATGATTGGGGACAGGACAGGAGGCAGCATTCAGGGTCTGAGGCTAAGGCCAACAGGGGGAAAGCAAGACTTGTCATTCTATCTGGTTAGACTCTACAGAATAGAGATCTACAAGGTCTGAAACAAGTGCACCGGTGAAAGCCCGTGTCTCTCCCCTGGCCAGAGGGGACTGTTGCGGGCCCAGCCGCCTTTTTCACCTACTACCCGTGCCGGTAGGGGGCGCGCGCGGGCTCGCGCCCCGGGGCGTTGATGTGCGGGAGCGAGGCCCCCGCCGCCAGCTTTTCGCTCAGCTTCTGGTTCACCAGCTCCAGCTGGCGCCCGTTCTTCCGGGCCTGCCGCAGAGACCTCTTGACCTTCTTCACTCGCTCGCGCAGCTGCCTGTTCCGCTTCTCCAGGGTGGCCACCTTCTGCTGCAGTTTCTTGACGTGGTCCTCCTCCTCAAACAGGGCCTTCTGCACCGAGGAGCACAGGAGCTGGGGACAGAGACACGGTGGGGAGAGCCGGGTGAGTCTCAGGTCTCTGCCCAGCGACCAGCGTTCCTGACCGCGCGCACCCCGGGCCAGGATGGACGCCACGCTGCCGGAGACCTCGCTTGCCCTCCACCCGCGAGCCCGCTCCCCGCCTCAGATACACACAGAGGCCTGCGTTTGTTTTGGTCCCGGGCTTCCTTGGGGGAGCTTGTTTTTTAAAAGACATTCTAACTATTTGTCACAGCAAAAAGGAACTCCTAAGTAAAGGAAGAGCCGGAAACAAAAGCACACAAAGAATACAGGTCGTTCACAGGAGAGGGAACATAACGATCTTTTAAATATACAAGCAGATGCTCAGCCCCACTCATTATAAGAGAAACCTGAGTTAAAGACACGTGGAATTACTATTTTCACATATTAAAGATTCGGGATTTGAGGAAACAGGTGCAGGACAGAGTGTAGACCTGGATAAAGAGCAGTTTAGCTCTATCAAAATAAAAGCTGCATGTACCCTTTGATCTAGTCATTCTGGGACTTTGTCTCACAGAAATAATCTCACATGTGGGAACTGCTACGTGCACATTACAGCATTACTTATTATTTAAAAAGATTAAAGCCATCTAAAATGCCCATCAAAAGGGTGGTTCAGTGAGTTATAGTAAATCCTTATGTGATGGAAAGGCTGTGGCTTGAAGGGAACAAGGCAGCCCCCCGTGCACGGCAGTGAGGTGGTCGCTAAGTCTGTCACGTGTCAACCTTAACACCATGTGTGTCTGTGCTTAGATATGTGTACGCTGAGAAGATACAAAAAACTGGTCACAGTGGTTGCATCCAGGGAGCAGAGGGGACAGGAGTGACAAGGAGATTTGCTTTTGTGTACTCTTCGTACCTTTTGAATTCTACATTACAGGCTAGTATTTTACACAAACACACACCGTCTTCTTGCCTCCAGTCTGTCTGCTCCCACCTGCTCTACATTATCAAGAGCCATGCTCCCACAGAAAGACTTGGGCCTTGACTCCTCCGCTTGGGAATACAGTTGGCCCTCCTTACTGGCAGGTTCTGATTCTGTGGATTCTGCACCCACAGATTCCACCAACCACAGAGGGAAAGTATTTGGCAAAAGAAATTTCAGAAAATTACAAAATGCAAAACTTGAATTTTCTGCGGGAAGAGTATTGCCTTGAATCCATTTGTGTAGACAAACCCAGCCTTGGGCCATTTAACAGACCCTTTGTCTCTTGAGCACTGGTAGCTTGAAGATTGCCGACCTTCCTTCTCATTTGTATTTTTGTTTTGTGGTAGGTACTGTGAATGGAACCTTAAAGTGGATAAGCCTTTGCAATGAACTCCATCCGCAGCTCTTTATATTTATTTTGAGGCAGGGTCTCACTAAGTTGCTTAGTTGCCCAGGCTGGGCTTGAACTTGCAATCCTTCCCAGAGTGCTAGGATTACATGCATGTGCAATGCCCAGCTTTGCATACTCTGTAGTTAGACATCTGAGATTGCATCTGTACTAAACATGTGTAGACTCCTTTCTTGTCATTATTCCCTAAGCGAAACAGTAGAAATATTTACATAACATTCACACTGTATTCCGTGTTAGAGGGAATCTAGACATGATTTAAAGTAGCAGGAGGTTTCCATAGATTGCAACAATGTGCCATTTTACGAAAGAGACTTGAACATCTACAGGTTTGGGCCTGGGGGTCCTGGAAATAGTCCCTCAGATACCGAGGGAGGACCTTGATCTCCTACACTATAATACAGCAATGTGGCTAAAATTGCAGACTCCCCGGACAGACTGCCTTGGTTTCAGGTCCTGCCTCTTCAGCTTCTGAGACTGATGACCTGGGACAGGCTTCTCAACCTCAAGGCCGTGGACTCTGTGCTGCACCAAGCAGACTGGAGAATTTGTTCCCTCAGCTTCTTAGAGTACTTTAGGCTGATGGCCTGCAACCAAATCTCTCCCCAGACCCTGCCCTGACTTCAGAGAGCTGCTCAAAGTCACCTCCTTGGAGCACCTGTATCCAATGCCTGGTTGACATCTGTTATGGTTTGTGTCTG